CTGCCAGAGTAATCCAAATTCGTGAATGTTTCTCCGGGTCTTGGCTTCCCGTGCCCTAGTAGAAACCCCTGTGTAGGAGGAAACGTGGCCGTATGGAGTGCTGAGCTACATCCCACGGCGGGTACCTGGCCCTGGGGCATCTGCAGCCGTGCTCCCGAGCACCGGTCCAGGCTCCGCGCTCAGCATCCTCGCCCCGCAGTGCCGTGACTAAGCGTGCTTCCCTCCGCTCCCGGCGTCTCGCTGGCTGCTGCGGCGAGGCGGGACGTGGCTCGGTGTTACGGAGGGGCGATGCTGTCCCAGGGCAAGGGCAGGGTGGCCAGACTTTCCGGCAGCCGATGCTTGAACAGACTCTGGAGGTTGTTTCGTTTCCTAGTGGGCAGGCGTCTGTCGCACAAACCCTTGGAAACAGCTTAATAATAATAATAATAATAAAGAAGAAGCCCTGTGCATCTGTGTCTGTCTCCTGCAGCCCGGGACCATGGGGAGCAGCAAGAGCAAGCCCAAAGACCCCAGCCAGCGCCGGCGCAGCCTGGAGCCCACCGACAACACCCACCACGGGGGCTACCCAGCCTCGCAGACCCCCAGCAAAGTGGCTGCTCCCGACACCCATCGCACCCCCAGCCGCTCTTTCGGGACCATGGCTGCTGAGTCCAAGCTCTTCGGAGGCTTCAACACCTCTGACACGGTCACCTCGCCGCAGCGTGCCGGGGCGCTGGCTGGTTGGTGTGGGCTGGGGCTCGGCGGGGCAGGGAGGGGCTCGGTTGGGTCTTTGTGGGTTTGGTTCCAACTTCTCGTGATGATGGGGTCCCCTGCTTTTGAAGGACTCTGAGGAGGAGGGGGAGCAGATCTGTGTCTTGTCGGCTGGTGGGAGGATGGCGGGAGAGGAGGGTCCCCAGTGAGGGTCACCCAGCACCACGCTGCGGCAGCGTCCTGACTGCTTTCTGTCGCAGGTGGAGTCACCACCTTCGTGGCCCTCTACGACTACGAGTCCCGGACCGAAACGGACTTGTCCTTCAAGAAAGGAGAGCGCCTGCAAATCGTCAACAACACGTGAGTGTCCCTGTCCCTCCAGCCAAGCCTGCGTAGGTGGGCTGTCACCTTCGCCCCTCTCGTGGAGCCCCCGAGCCCAGCTCTCCCCCAGGGATGGCTGCTCAAAGAGGGATGCACCGAGGTGCGCACGGACGCGGTGACTCCAAGGACACCAGCGCTGGAGGCGATCGCACGCCTGCCCCCGTGTCCTCCCAGCCCTGCTGCTGGTCACCGTTGCCTTGCAGCCTTGTCACCAAGCCACCTCCTCTGCTCGCTGGCCAGTCCATGCCATCCAGCGCGGGGCCGCGTCCCCAACGGTCCCCCGTCCCCATCAGCACTCGGCTCCCTCTCGTTCGCCTGGACACACCTCCTCAACTTCACGGGTGCTTTCCCCTGTGCTTGCATGGTATCTCTGACCTCAGCTTCTCTCTCGACTGTTTTTTCTCTCCTTTGTGCCATGCTGTCGCTTAGGAGAAAAGTGGACGTCAGGTGTGTATCGCAGGTTATTACTATTATTGTTGTTAACGATCTTAAATGATAAAAGCCCGTCTGCTGCCTGCATTAGGGTGAGGTTGGCTGGAGTGGGCTGGGAGGAGATGGTTGCCTGATGGTTTTGTGGTTGGTTGGGTTTGCCCTCCCTGAGCAACCGGGGCAGAGTGGGGAGCCCCTTCCCGTGCCTGGGAACTGCTCCATCCAGAGCTGTGCCTGCACCCCGGAGCTCTGAGCCTGGCCCGCTCTCCTTGCCTGCGCCTGGCACCCCTCTGCAGTCCCTTTTCGGTTTGCTCTCTGCTCCCTCCTGGACTTTGTTGCGTTTATTTTTGCGTTTTTTAAGTTTATTTTTATTTTTTCTGAGTGGCTCAGGGGACTCGAGTGCTTTCTTAGGGGTCTGGCTCCTGCTTGTTTGCTCTCCATCCTGGTCGTAGCAGCACACCCACCGCTGGCTGCCTAGAGCAAGGCAAGGCAATGAGCTGGAAGAGGCTCCTAAACGTGATCCTGTATCAACCCCGCGCGCGGTCTGTCTGGCACGCGCGGTCTGTCTGGCACGTGCGCTCTGCAGCATCCTTCGGCGGCGCTGCTGCGGGGCTGGCTGGCAGAGCCGCTGTCCCCAGCGCTGCCGTGGGGTCCCTGGGGTCGGGTCTGCGCCTCCCGCCTCCGCTGCTGCCTTCCAATCTGGGCACCCTAAACAGCTTTGCAAAATCAAAGGGTGGAAAGACGAGGGATTGTGCAGTGTTGCACAAACACGTTTTCAATTTGATCCTTGTTCTCCTTCTTCCAACGCTGTTTATTAATGGTGATTCATTTAATCCGTGAAGTTCAGGTTGTGCAGGGCCTCAAAGCTGTAGGAAAAGCCTGAATTTGGGGAGTTTGGTGCTTTTTGCTTTCACAGCCTCAGCAATGTA